AACCTACCACAAGACCCAGCAACTCCACTCTTACGCATATATCCAAAAGATGCACATTCATACAACAAGTACATCTAGTTCACTATGTTCACAGCAGCATTATTTGTAATAGCCAGAACATGGAAGCAACCTAGATGCCCCTCAACTGAAGAGTGGATAGAGGAAATGTGGTACATTTACATAATGGAGTACTATTCAGCAGAAAAAATATGGAATTCTGAAATTTGCAGGCAAGCGAATGGCACAAGAAGAAACCATCCTGAGCAAATTAACCCAGTCACAAAAAGACAAACATGGTATGTACTTACTCATAGATGGATTTTAGACATGAATCAGGGGAGCGCCAGCATACAATCCCACGGCTAGAGAGTCTGGGGAAAAGAACTTTCATCCAATGGCTGATGAAATCAGAGGCAGACTCCCACAGCTAAACACTGAGCTGAACTCAAGGAACCCAGTGACAGAGAGGGAGGACTGATGAGCAAAGGGGTTAAGACTGGGCTGGTTGAACCCCCAGAAACAGCTGACCTGACAAGGGTTAGCTCTTGAATCCCAGACTGATGGCTGGGAATCCAGCATGGGACTGATCAAGACCCCCTTTATGTGGGTGTCAGTAAGGAGGCCTAGGCAATCTATTGGGCCTCGAGTAGTAGATCAGTATTTATCCCTGGCATACAAATGGACTTTGGGTGCCCATAAAACAATGAGAGTTGCACTCTCACCCTGGACTCTTGGGGGAGGGTTTAGGCCCTGCCCTGGATGAAATGACAGATAATAGACACCCCCATGGAGGGCCTCACCCTCCCTGGGGAAATGAGGGTGTATTGGGGAGGGTTGTTGGGCAGGTGTGGCAGGAGGGGAGGGAAAGGAAGAGGGACCTGCGATTGACATGTGAAGCAACCTTGTTTCTAATTTACATTTAAATTTAAAAATAAAATTTAAAAAGCCAATAGTGGTGCAGTAGGAAAGATAGGAGAGTGAGCCTGGTTAAGGTACATTGTAAGTCAACATCCTCAGTCATACATCACTATAATTAAATACAGCAATGCCTGTGAGAATACTTTTTAATAAGTAGGTATAGTGTTGAATGATCTTGGGCAAGAAAATATCTGTTGATAAATTGAGATATGCTGAAAGGTGAGGAGGGAAATACTGAGCTCTGATTGCCTTCCTAGGTGCTTTAATATCAGTATCACCTGCCAATATATGTGCTCTTCAAATTGCCAATGGTAATCCTCTGGTCATCCCTTGGGCATGAGTTGGTCCAGTTCTATGCTATAAGAGTGTGGTAACAGTATTTCAAAAGCCCAGCTTCTCTATATGACAAGCAGATAACCAAAATAGCAAGTGATCAATGTAACATTTTAGAAGTGTGGTTAAAGGAAAACAGCAGTAGCAATGGTCACACTAGGTGTCAAGAATCAATCCACAACCTATATAGGCATCACTTATTTAAATAAAAATTATCAAATTACTACTTTCATCATTTGTCAGGATAAAGAGTAGATGTTAGCATACTATTAGATTATATATTCTACAATCACCCTATTCCAAAGCCTTGTTCTTATTTTTTTATGACAATCCTCACAATTTATATTTACCATGTTTTTACTCATTTTTAAACTGGACTGCAGACTTCGATAGGGAACAGGAACTATCCATAATTTTGTTTTGCATTAAAAGTCCAATGCTAGCACAGTATGTATATCTAATGTATAATTCAATAAACATTTGTGAGGAAAGGACATACTTGAAAATGGGTCTAGATATAGGCCCCTGTCCTTACCCACTAAACTACATTGTTAGATTTCTCTGAACTTCCAGTGCCACATTTTGGCTAATACCTCACTTCAGTCCACTGTAATATTCCACAACAAATACAATTCCAAAATCTGTGTCAAAACAGGTGAGAAATTACAGGCAGTTATTTTAAAAAATCAAATCTATTAGATGCTGTCTTCCTGTCAGCCTCCCATACTGTCTAATTCTAGGTAGCATCATTCCAAGTGGGATATACACTCTTCCAAAACATCCCATCACACATAGCAAGACTGGGTAGGGGTTTACACTTACACACACACACACACACACACACACACACACACACACACACACACACACAAGCACACTGCACAATATCTACTCCACTCTCTGGCCCTCTGTTATAATTAGTCTTTTTCTAAGTTCCTTGGTGACTCTGCTTTGAAAAACTGTTAAAATTAAAAGAACATTTCCTAGACTCAATCCCCTCCTTGCACTTCTAAGCCATCAGTTGTCTATTTATGACTGTGTGCTTCATTTTACTAAGTTCTATTTCTAGGACACTAATATCATCTCATGCAGAGAGAGATGTATTCAGCATTCCATGTGGTGTCATTTTCTGAAAGGGGTGAAGTCTCATTTTGAATGCCTTACTATTCTTTCTTACAGAGTTTTGGAGCACATAAACCAACTGTCTCAAAGGAATAGCTCCCTTCTGTTCCTGCCATTCCTATTACTGAATTCTAATGGTGAACAGTGAATATGTATACCATGATATGCTTCTCAAGAAAAAGGCCTATCCTCTGGGAAAAGTTTATGTTCTCCAGGACTTTGTAAACTTCAAGCACAAAAGGCAAGGCAACAACCTACAAGAAACTCAAAGATGTACTCCATAATTCACTGTCTGAAGTGTTTTTCTTACTGCAAGTGACTAAGTAATACAGAATCTGCCATGGCTGAGTGTTGTCTTTTAATGAAAGCTACACTATATTGATGTAGATAATACAAAAATTATCAGTAAGAGGCTAGTGAGATTACTCGGTGTGTAGCTATGCTTTTATGAAGGCTTCATGACCTGAGTTCTATCCTCAGATCCCCTAAGGTGGCAGGAGAGACCCAACTCCTAGAGCTTTCTTCTGACCTCGACAGGCTCACCATACCCAGAAATCACAATCACACACACACACACACACACACACACAGAGAGAGAGAGAGACAGAGACAGAGACAGAGACAGAGAGACAGAGACAAAGAGACAGAGAGACAGAGAGACAGAGAGACAGAGAGACAGAGAGACAGAGAGACAGACAGAGAGAGAGGAAGACACAAATAAATATACATTTTAAATTGTCATTAAACCATTAATATGTGCCAGGCACTAGTTTTGTGTTTTCCCATTCATCCAGTTGTTAGTGCTCCCAACAACTCTTGGAGTTGAGACTATTACCATTTCCATTGAATACAGGAGGTAACTGAACTATAGAGTGGCAAATTACTTATCCCAGGATCATAATTTGTAAGTGAAATTTGAGAATACAATTCTGACCCCAAACAACATAGTATTGACATCTACCTATCTTAGTTACTTTTCTTTTGCTATGATAAAACATTATGACCAAGAAACTTATAGAAGGAAGGGTCTAGTTGGACTTAAGGTTCCAGGGGGATGCGTCTGTCAGGGCAGGGAAAACAGCAGGCATAGTGACTGGAGTAGTAAGCTAGGAGCTCACAACAGGAACCACCAGAATAAAGCACAGAAAGCACACTTGGAGTGGTGTGAGACCTTAAATCTACCACACTACTTTATAATGCCTTTCAGGCAGACAGTAAGAAGTGATATAAGAGGACTAGCTGAAAAATGCATGAAATGATTTTTAGCTTGTTTCCATAGTAAAGAAAATTCAAAGAATCCAAATATGAAAAGGTAAATTAGAAAGTGGCATCCTAACATGCAAGAAAAAACCTTCAGAAAAAGAACACATCTAAGAAGAGGAAGATATACAGAAGAGAGAATTTTAAATAGAAATACCTCTGAGGAGGAGGTCATGGAAAGTGACTGTCAAAAGATGGCTGGCTCTTGAGGATTATGAAAACAAGTTCATAGTGATGGTTGTATACCTGAGTATTCTAAAAAAATTGCTGGGTTGAAAATTATATAATTATGATTATGTGGCATGTCAATTATATTTTAATAAAGGTGTTTAATAAAACGACAGAAAAGGTAAGTACAGGGGAAAGATCACATATCCAAGATACTGTCTACGCCCCAAGGTAAGGATGAAATTAGAAAGCTTAAGAACATACTAATACAAACATGCTTTAGAAAAAGATATAAAAAGACTAGATGCTTAATTTGTTCTGTGCCTTCCTAAACTTAACAGAAGACCGCTTCCTAAATTTGCCTGCATCATTGCCTGTCCACATACCAATGCCTCCTCTGGACATCTGTGCTTCATTTCCTAGATTGCATACTTACATTGAATCTTCTTGGTGTAAATGAGAGTAATGCTATACCTAATTCAATCCTGTTTGTGGAGAGATGTTTAGTAAAGCACTCTGAAGGGTGGTGACCAAGGAAAAGTTATGTCACTGTCACCAGAAATTCAAGAACAGTATTCTGAGAACTGATAACAAAACATAACAGGATCTAGAGAGAACACAGTATAGACCCTCAGGTTGCAGTGGGGCTTGTGTACATCCTACATCTTGAAGGTTCTTCAACAAATTGAAAACTAGTCCTTTAAACAAAGACTTTCTATGCAATTGAACTATGCTCCACTTGTCAGTCTCAGGCCTGAAAATTACTTGAGTGCTTATACTTATGTCTTCACACAGTATGTATTCAGCATTTCTAATAAAGCTTGGCCCATTTTTCAGAAATTTACTAAAGCTGACTTTCTCCCTTGGTTACGATTCCCATTTAATTAGTCCCATAGGAAGATAACTATTCTAATTTTTCAGTCTCTCTAAATGATCCATTTAATGTAATATTGTCCTGGTCCCTGGAAATTCTCTTAATGAAGAGTTTTTGTATCCTGCCACTTATTTTCATACATTTTAGTGTGGCTAAGTAAACACAAATATTTGTACATTCTAGACAAGATGCCTACCATGGATCTATACCCCCAGCCCAAGGATTTCATATTATAATTCATTCCATAATCATAAAGTGAGATCAATCAGAGAAATAGTAAAAAACTGCTAGAAAAAACAGACACTACAAACACAAAATGTCTGACCTTATAATTAATGATTAATGAGGCTCTTCAGATCAAACTTGTCACTTGCATTACTCCACTTCCAATAGTCCATGTTCCCAATACTGAAGAACCATCATCTGTAAAATCGCCAATGATTTATTAAGAAACAGAGGAACATGAACATCTTTTATACACAAACAATTACTTGGCGACCTTCTCCATTGAACCTTTCCTTACTCAATAGTGATTTAGTGTTAGGGCATCATTCATTCATTTCAAGAATAATATCCCATAACTTTGCAATAGATATTGTGGTTTAACCTTTGACTTTAATGCCACAAATTTCCATTCTTGGCAAAATGAACAATGTCCTAATCTAATAACTTTCTCAGTAGGGCATGTTCTTAGGCCATGCAAATAAATGGGGCCAATTTATATAGCATCTCTGGTATCCATTATTATTGCTATATATATATGTATGTATATATATATATATATATGTAGAACTTGTATGAGCCACACAAGTAGAGTCCAGTATAGTGATCCTGCATTTAGTTTTATTAAATCTAGAATCAAGTAATGCTTTAGAATTTTAGAATCCAAGCTGAGTCTTAGGAGCCTCTACAGAAATTCTAAGGGAAAATATTGACTTCACAGTCTCATGACTGATCCTTAATACTTCTTTAACTAAAGCAATTTTTGTATGTTTAATATATCAAGATTAATACACTATTTGATTTGAAAAAAGCCTATGAGTAAAATATCAATGTTTCACAAATCATTACTATAGCCTATCCAGACATCATTAACCATGAGCATTTATGGACTCTCAAAATAATGAATTTACAGTAACAAAGAAAGCTTCTTTCTCAAAAATAGATGGCTAGATTTGCTATCCCTTAACTTATCACATCCATTTATTAACCATTTTTCAGCCCCAACATATAGCTAAATGTTACCAGATACTATAATGACAACAAAAACATGAAACAAATGGAAAAGATTGAAGAGAGTAGTGGTTAAATTTTTGATAGGGTGACAGTCAAGAAAGGCCTCCAAGGAGGTACTATTTAAGATGAGATGATATGGAGAGAAAAAGATGAAGCTGGAAGTCAGTGGACCAGTGAAAGAGATGTAGAATGATTCATTCTGGCTTTACAGGACAATTTTGCAACATTAAATGAGTTAAAACATGATTGAGATGTCATTGACAAGCCCAGCCTGGGTTCTGGGGATCAGTTTCATGAGGTCAGACTTGCATAGCTAGCTCATTACCTAATGAGCCATTTCACCAGCCCTTGAAATTGTACAAGGTTTCCGTGTATTACATACAGTATACCTCTTTCTTATATTGCCTACTTCATAGCATTAATAACATTTGGTTTCGTATTTACAAAGAAAAAAAACAAGGGGGGAAGGAAGGAGGGAGGGAGGAAGGGAGGAAGAGGGAAGGAGGGAGGAAGGAAGGAAAAATGAAAGAAAGAATTAAAGAAAGAAAGAAGGAAAGAAAGAAAAGGAGAAAGCCTAGTCCTGAGATTGTTTGTGACAGAACCAACAAAACATCAAGAAGATTGAGCACTGTAATTTAAGTGAGTAATGAGGGGAACTTTAACTAGTGTTCTTGGCATAGACTGGTGAAAGTATTCAAAAGAAACATGCTGAGGTCAATTGTAAGATGTTTGATGACAGATTAAACTTGACTTTTGAAAAACAGAAATAAAAACCATTTCTTTAGATTTAGCATTAAGAACTTGGAACTCTAACTGGATCAATGAAATCAGATGAATAATAAGTAGCACATTATCAAAATTAGAATTGACCAATAGGATCGAGATAGAGAAAAATATGTAAGTTTCTGGTATGTAGCTAAGAGAGACAGGGAGAGTAAGAAGCCAGTGGGATATGGGTGTCTAGAGAACAAGAGTGACAATAAATTGAGGATTATTCACATAGGAATGACACAAAAGCTAGAAACCTGACTGAGACTGTCATGCCAGTGATTACAAATGGTGAAGAGAAATTAGGCCACAACGAAATCCTAGAAAACCCCAATGATTAGAGACCAGAGAAAGAGGTGAACAACCAAGTTTCAGAGAAGAATCACCTTCAGAAAAGGAGAGACACAGCAGGATGCAGAACCATGAAGTTCTAGAGGAAAGTATTTCAGGAAGGATAATAGTCATTTTTGTCAACAATTTCTGAAAGATCAAATAAACTGAAAGCACAAGTGATAACAGAATTTCATGATTTGACATATAGGTAAAATGTTTTATGAAAGAAGTAGGAAATACAGTTTTCAACTCTTTCTGATACACTGTCGCTTATCTAGACACTTGGATATTCAGGAATAAGAATAGCCATGCAAAGTAAAGAAAGGATTAAAAAAATAACTGGAGAGAAAATTATGAAGAGTAAACAGCACAACAAATTCTTACTTTCCCATTATTGTATAATGTTTCAGTGGTGAACTTTAACAGACAAAGTCTGTGATTTCTGAAAGGTTAAAGGAAATAACCTCCCAACAGATGTTTCTGAAGAAAGACATGGATCTGCTGCCACCCCAGGAGACTACAATAAGTCAATAAAGATTCAAAATGCATTCAGGGAAATGTCAATAGTAATCCTGTACAGACAACATTCAAAACTTTGTAGCAGAAATATGTAGAGACAATTTAAAACCATGACCTACATCTGCAGAGGATTTCCTAGGAGCCCCAGTGCTTTCTAATATTGCAACATGCAATCACCTCATTCTCTTCGATCTTTCTGACCAATGGTTAGCCAGCTCATTTGACACTGATTTGGGTGTTCCATAAGAACTTATCTTCTAGAAAATAGTAAAGATGGACTTCTAATCAAAACAGATGAAATATACTTGTAATTACAACTAATCATCCAGTACTGGCTCTTTTTAAAGTAAAGAGTGTTTCTACAAGTGTGAATATAACACTTATGTTGAAATTAATGTATGGCAATTTATTCATTGCTATTTCTCTGTGTATGAGCTTGATCATCAACAAACCCACTCTAACATCTAAGTACAATCTACTTTTGAGAGATGAAATCACATTATGCTCAATCTGTTATATACTCCTATATTAATAATGATGAATTTGTGTCCAATTTTATTTTGTATAGATACTTTTCTAAAATAATCTTATGCTTCCATTTAAAGGTAAAATAGTTATATTTTGTATTAGTAAACTAGACTTTGTATAGTTTCAACAGTTTTCCCCTTAAGTCTACAACAATAATTGTATGAGTTCTTAAGGCATAAATAACTCTTTTATAAGACGGATTTTTTAAAAGTTCTCTTTGCATTGCCTAGGCTAGACTGGATCTATTTTGCAGTTAAGGATACTCTCAAACTTGTAATGCTATTGTCTCTCTGCCTCTCAAATTATGAAATTACACATGTGCCACCACACCCAGTTAAAAGGTGATCTTAATGAATTTGTACAAGTCCTTCAATGATATACAAGAATGTTTGGGGGACAATATAGTGTGTATGCACTTTGAACACAAAAAGCACCACAGACGGTTTGGGGAGGTTTTGTTTCAATGTGATGGAATTGTATCCCACTCTTTCCATATCAGCTTTCAAATTGAAGTGCTGTAAGTGTATTAGCCTGAAGCAGTCCTTTACTCTGATAATTATCTGAAGATTTAAAAGGCTTAGAATTACAACAGTAAAGACAAAAACAGAGATACAGGAAAGGTAAAATGATATGTAGTCCCAATAGAAGTGTCAATCATACTTTTATATTTAAAAAAACAATACATAGAACAAAAAGCCCCACAGAATAATTTATATTTGCTACCACAAAATAAATTGCTAATCTGTACATTATTTATTGAAATCTACAAAATGGTCATAAAAATCCAAGATCTAAAGTGTGCAGGATACCATGTACATGGATTATATAACTAGAAATTCCCAAAATTGATACAGGTTGATTTGAAGCAATTCCAAAATGAATACTCATCCAATCTTCATGGATTGACAGAATTAATATTGTGGAAAATAGCCATATAACCAAAAGCTATTTATAGATTTTATGTAATCTAAATCAAAATTCCCATAATATTCCTTATAGAAAAAATATCTAAAATTCCTATGGAACCAAAAAAAGATCCCTGGTAGCAAAGCAATCCTGAACAAAAAGAATCCTGGAAGGATTGCTATTCCAGACTTCAAGATATAAAACAACAGGGTACTGATTCAAAGCATCTATGTACATCAATGGAATAAGATAGACGACCCAGCCATGAGTACTTGTAATTACAGCCATCTGATATCTGACAAAGATGCGAAACAACATATGCTGAAGAAAAAAAAACCCAGCAACTTCAACAGATAGTGCTGGAAAAACTTGATGTCCACATGCAGATATGTGAAATTAAATCTGTATCTATTACCCTGCACAAAAATTACATCCAAGTAGATAAAAAACAATTTGAAACATGAAACAATGAAAATGGTAGAAGAAAGGATAAGAAAGACATTACAAGATATAGTTGTCAGAAAGGACTTTCTGAATAGGAATTCATGTGTCAAGGAATTAAAGCAAACACTGGACAGTTGGGAACTCATAAAACTAAAGAGCTTCTGAGTAGCTAAGAAACAACCAAAGAAAGAAACTCACATAATGGGAGAGAACATCTGGCAGAAGATTAATATCCATAATATACAAGAGAAGAAATAAAAAATAACTAATATAACAAGCCTTCTTTCCACCAGCCTGGTCCCTGAGCTGTATTAGTCCCAAATGAACATGCAGGATGCTATGTTAATTATGAAGCTGTTGACCATTTGCTATGGTTTCTTAATGGCTAGCTCTGACTTAATTATTAACCCACAATTACAAATATATATTTTATAAGATCTCATCTTTCTGAGGACGCCATCCTGACATGTCCTCTCCTCCTGGGATAACATGGCAACTCCCTACCCTTGATTACACTTCCCAGAATTCTCCTTGACTCCTAGTCCCACCTATCTCACTTCCTTGTGTACCAGCAATGCTTTATTTATCAACCAATAAGACAACATATACACAGAAGGGTTTCCCCCATCAGATTAAGTACTTTAAAAAGTGTCCGTAATCCTTATAAATTAGGAAAATGCAAATTAAAA